GGAAGACTGATGGGGCAGGGTGCCGTGCAAGACAGAGGAGACTGAAGGTTTGCAGGGAAACCTGTGAGTAGGAGAGGAAGGGGAACAAAGGAATGTGGGGAACAGGAGGGAGGAGGAGGAGACTTGGGAATAGGGAGATCAGGGAGGTGCAGGAGGATCGTGAGGCCTGTAGAATAAGGGGTGGCAGAGTGAAAGTGTGAGAAGTGGGATGCTGTAGGTGACGGAGGGAAAATCAGGAGCAGGTGAATGTAGAAGGGGGATGGGACCAGGAGACTTTTGTGGGCAGAGGAGAGTGGATGATGTAGAGAGATCGGACAGCAATGACAGAGAAGGAAATGGCAGTTTTGGGGTTAGGAGTTGGCAAGTGGTCCCCCCAAGCAACTAGCAACGAAGTCAGCCTTTCTCAATGTGCACCGCAGGCTGAATTTTGTCCCTGAAGTGGACACAGACACTTGGAGGGTGAATGACTTCCCCCTGAAAGCTCGAAACAAAACAGAACAAAAAGCTAACCAGAAGGCAAATTTAATTATTTTTTGGGGGAAATAAAAAGCCTTGTGATTTTTCAGTCAGTCTCATAATATGGGGGAGAGGGTTGGCACATAGTTTTGAACACCTGTGGTGAGCCATACTGGGGGCGGAGGGAAGGGGGGCGGGTGCGGGCCTCATGATGGGTAGTTTATTGTGGTGTTTGTCAGGCTCACGCTTCCCCTTGAACTTGGAAGTCAAAATATGAGTTGGTTCTAACTCTCCGTAAATTCTACAGGGATAGGCCCAATCCATCTATCTTCCATTTAGTATCCAGTGTTTTTGATACAAACAGTGTCCCATCGGGCCTCACAGAGTTAAATATGCACAGCGGCACGCAGGAAAGGGAGAGGAGCCTAGAAGTAGGGTGGAGAGTCAGCGGGGCTGACAGTGGGAAGGGATGGAGAGGAAGGCCGGTCCTGGCTGAGTGGATAGGTATAACTGGACTCTGAGTTCTGCTAGTCCATGGAGCATTTTAAAAGGCAGGAGGTCAGCTTTGAACTGGACCGTGGCATGCATGCATAGCCCTGGTGGCACAAGGATGAGGGTTAGGATAGTTGTTTAGGGGTGGGTGTGGATGGATGTGAAGCTCATTACAGCCCCCCTTCGAACAGATTGTTTTTCGGGAAGGAGAGGTCTCCTCCTGTCAGGTCTGTTTGTGGTTTTCACACTGAGCATTTCTCCTTTGTCCCGCTGCTGTAATTATCTTCATTTGAACTTTGCATTGGGGATTGGTGGTCTGCACACCGCCTCCGAAGGCCCATTCCTCAGGGAAGGAGGCACCTCTGCCCTGGATTAAAATGAAAGCCCAGAAATAAAGGACCAGAGACTGTAGGCTCTATTCCTCAAAAGCACTGTCTCAGACATGGCTTTCTTTCCTCCAAACTATTAGTGATACCATCCATACTCCTATCCCCTTTCTAAATACCCTCTGTTATGGCTACCTCTGCGTAGACTTCAGAGGGTTCCCATGGGAAGATGAGATTTATGAACTCACTTTGCCATTATGTCTGTGTGTACCTATCTATCTAGAGAGAGCATATTATACGTATAATCCATACACTGAAATCTGCACAAGAGGCCATCTTCAATGGGCAATGCCCTGTCTTACAAGACAGCATTCCCCATATAAGGACAATAAGGAAGAGTTTTAAAGTCTATTAGGAAGAAAATGATACTGGTCTATTACTAGATGGAAAGGGTAGTATTGTCAGTGACAATACAGTTCAGGCAGAAGTTTTCAATATATACTTCTATTCTGTATTTGGAGAAAAACAAATGATGTAGCTTTATAGAATAACATTCTTTCCATCCCACTAGTATCTCGGGAGGATGTCAAGAGCAGTAACTGAAGTGAAGACCTTTTAAAATCAGCAGTCCCTAAACTTGCATCCAAGAGTTTTAAAAGAACTGGCCGAGGAGCCCACTGGACCATTAATGTTGATTTTCAATAAATCTTGAAACCCTGGGAAGTGCCAGAAGACATAAGAAAGATGATGTTGTGCCAATATTTACAAAGGATAAATAGGATGACCTGGGGAATTTTAGGCCTGTCAGCCTGCCATTGATCCTGAGCAAGATAAAGGAGAGGCTGATACAAGACTCGATTAATTATCTTACTGCCCTTTCATTTTTTATTAAGGTCAGTCAACATGGGCTTATGGAAAAATAGATCCTGTCAAACTATCTTGATTTTTTTTACAAGATTAAAAGTTTGTTAATTATTTTAATCAGGGAATAGTATGGATCTGATATACTTCTCTTGAACTTTTGTTTAAGGCATTTGACTTGGTACCATGTGGCAATTTGATGAAAAAACTAGCATGATATAAAATTGCAGTGGCACACATTAAATAGATTAAAAGCCAGCTAACTTATAGGTCTCAGAATCAATTGTAAATGGTGAATTGTCACCTCATAGGTATGTTTCTAGAAGGGTCCCATAGAGGCTGGTTCTTGGCCCTATGTTGTTTACCATTTTTATCAACAATCTAGAAGAAAACATAAAGTCATCAACACTGATAAAGTTTGTAGTTGACCCAAAAATTGGGAGGTGGCAAATAATGCAGAGGATAGATGCTGAGACTGAAATCCAGATGGCTAGGTAAGCTGAACGCAAGCAAACCATATGCATTTTAATATGGCTAAATGTAAATGTATACATCTAGGCACAAAGAATGATGGCCATGCTTCCAGGATGGGGGCTTTCTCCTGGGAAGCTGTGACTCTGAAAAAGATGTGCGGGTTACAGTGGATAATCAGTTGAACATGAGTTCACCACTGCGCGCTGTGGCCAAAAAGGATAATGTGAGTCTTGGCTGCGTAAACAGGGGAAACTGCAGTAGGAGTAGAGCTATTTTACCTCTTTATTTGGCACCGGTATGGCCACTGCTGGGATACTGTGACCAGTTTTGTTCATAGAATCATAGAGCTGACAGAGACCTCAGGAGTCATCAAGTCTAGACCCTTGCCCAAGGCAGGACCAACCCAACTAAATCAACCCAGCCAGGGCTTTGTCAAGCCGAGACTTAAAAACCTCTAGGGATGGAGATTCTACCCCCTCCCTAGGGAACCCATTCCAGTGCTTCCCCACCCGCCTAGGGAAATAGTTTTTCCTAATCTCCAACTTAGACCTCCCCACTGTAACTCTCCCATTGTTGTCTATAACTCAAGAAGTGTTGGAGAGGGTTTAGAGAAGAGCGACACAAAAGATTATTAAATTATTAAAAAATCTGCCTTTATAGTGATAGAGTCAAGGAGCTCAATCTATTTAGGTTCCCAAAGTTAAGGTTAAGGGGTAACTTATTACGGCCTATGAATACCTACACGGGGAACAAATATTTAATAATGGGCTCTTCCCGTTAGCAGAGAATGTTATAACATGGCTGGACAATGAAGCTAGACAAATTCAGACTGAAAACGGGGTATGAAATTTTAACAGAGTAATTAACCATTGGGACAACTTGCCAAGAGTTGAGAAGATTCTCCATCACTGACAATTTTTAAATGAAGATTGGATGCTTTTCTAAAAGATCTACTCTAGGAATTGTTTTGAGAGGGTGTTAGGGCCTGGGTTTGACAGAGGTCAGACTAGAGCAGGGCAGTCTGACTTTTTTTCAAGGTCCAAATATTGTGGTCAAACTGTAGTCAAGGTCCAGACTCCAGAGAAATAATAATGTTGAAAAAAAATGACAATTATCAGTACATAAAAAGATTTTCAGGGTCTGTTCAAAAGCGTTTGGCGGTCTGGATTGAGCCTGTGACCCGCCTATTGACTGCCCCTGAACTAAATGATCACAGTGGTTCCCTCAGGACCTGGAATCTGCAAATCCATGTTCAACACAGCTTTTTATCAGGCTGTCTCCATTGAACTGGAGGTTTTTGAAAGTCCCTCAAGTGGTTGCTTAAGAACAGGGTTCATTTTTTTGGAATATAGTAAATGTGCACGCAAGACTCGATACAAAAATAGATGTGCAACAGGATGCATAATTTGCATGTGTAATTACTGTGATTGCACATGCAAATTTGGTATCTAGACGATGAGTGATGGGTGACATCCCCCCACACCCTTCCGACCCCCCCCCAACCTCCCGCACACCCCTAGAATAACTACTTTTACACTGGAAAAGGAGTAGTCCTATAGCAGGGTTACAGACCACAGGGCTACCCCTCTAATAGTTTTACACTAGACTAGCTGTCCCGATCAGCTCCTCCCAATACGCCTGGCTCTGGTTCTGTCTGATAGTGACATTAGCCTCTTGTGTGTTCTGAAGGAGGCCTCCTCTTTTCCTGGCCCACCTTGCCAGCATGAGTTGGCACTGTTCTTGCCAGTCAGATAACAAGTACAGCACTCACCGCATTTCCCACCCACACCGGTCTCTCACCCATGCCGTGTGGCAGGATCACAGCCTCATTCTCCAGCAGCGATGGGGCTTCTAGCACTCTGCAGCAGTGTGGGAGAGTGATCTTGCAAAGGTCAGGGCAGGCTAGGAGGGTGATTGAGTTTTGTTCTTCAGGGACCTCATCCTGGCATCCCAGGGAAAGCGAGCCCTGCTAATTGGTCTGAGTCGGTGGGGGCTGCGTCTTGCCCGAGCCCCCAGCAGGGTTGCTAGAGGGAGCAAGGCCAAAGAGTTCCTTCAGCCTATTCCCAGCCTCGTGAGATTGCTCTAAATTATGAAAATGGACATTTTCAATTGGTTAAAATTCCACTCCAGACCCTTCCCTTGTTTTTGTTCTTGGCCCATTTTCACTGGCAGCTTCGGCAGCACAATAGCAGCCGCCGCCATTGCCCTGGCTCTGAGAGGAACCTCCCCGGGGCACTGTTTAATTTATCCCCCCCCAGCCGGTGTGCTCAAGGCAGCTCAGGGTTGGAACATTGTGCCTGTCCCCCCCTCCAGCCGCATTCGCCCGAGGCCCATCTCATCACCCCTGTCACCCATCACTGATACTAACTCAACTTGCCTGCGCTCTTGTAGGGGTCAGATGGACTGTCGGAGCCCGAGGGCATCTCTCTGAAACGCGTGGCTGTGGTGGAAGATTTCTTTGACATCATCTACTCGATGCATGTGGAGAACTCGGCAGAGCCAGGCAAAGCACCCAAACATGCCGGGCAGAAGAAAACCTATCGAGCGGTGAGACCTCCTCCTGTGTTGCCCTGACAGCCGGGGGGGCGCAGAGCCAAAGGGGAAAGGCCCCCTGCACGAGAAGGAGGAATGGGTCTGAGGTGGGGGAGAGCGCGCCCAAGTGAGAGGGCTGGCAGTGGGTGCCTGTGGTGGGGTGTGAAAGAACGGGATAAAGACACAGCCGCGGTGGTGAGGGGGCAGGAAAGGTGGGTGAGGGTAGGGGGGCAAGTGTGCAGCAGCTGGGAGGGGGACAGCTGAAAAGGAGCACACAAACACAACTCTACACGTGCTCAGTGAAAAACACCTCGGACGGCTTCGACCCTTTCCTCATCCTGAAGCGTTACTCAGGCGAGAGGGGATGTTTACCCACCCATTGTATCCCCTGCCCTACGCCATCTGCCTCTCTTCCCCCCTGCGCGGCGGAGAAACGCACGATTTCCGATCCGCGGCGGAAGGAAAGCACGCAGCCAGAGCCGCGATTGGGAGCCTGCTGTTCTCCTCCCAGCTCCGACTCGCTGGGTGGCCACGGGGCCATCACCCTGAGCGTGGTGCATTTCCACAGGCCCGTCTAGGCATCCTGCAGCCAGGGGCTGAGACCCGGAATGGATTTGTCCAGAAGAGTGTTCAGTGACGGTTACTATTTCTCCTGTCTCTCCATAGTCTTTCAGCGCAAGCGTTGGTGTCCCGTTCCTTTAGACGGGGCGCTGAATTTTACTCTCCATGTTCCTGCTGCTGTATTGAATCCTGACAGCCCGAGCACCTGCCCTCTTGGCAAACCCCCCCCTTGCTAGAACTAGCCCTACAACTCATGCTCGAGACTCTCCTGAGCCGGACATGCTGCCCCGGTCCCTGCAATGCGCCCGGCTGCTGCTTGGGCTCATGCAGGTCTCGGCATGCTCCTTGAGTCCCCACAGGGATGCAGGCTGCTGAGTAGGCGCCTGTCCCTGCTCCAGACTGCAGACTCCACAGGGCTCTGCACACCGCTGGCATGCCTGCCGTGGAGCCCAGACCCCTGCAGGCACCAGCGTGCCGCCGGAGCCCCTGCGGGGGAGCGGAGAGCCCTGTGCACATCTCCTGGCCCCACTGCGTGTGTCCCTGCAGCGTGACTGCGGACAGCCATTCTCTCTAGCTGGAGGCAGACGACCTCTCCGTCACTAAGGAGGGCGACTCCACCAGCATGATCGCAATTCAGAAACTTTCCACTCATTTCCACCCTCCCCTGGTTCCTTCAATTCAGTTCTCTGGAGTACTAATCTGTGCACTGCACAGCCTCAGGGGACCAGACTGGATCCGTCTGTTTTCCCAGGCCTGCTAACAGCCCTCAGATAGCTCCAGGCCCCACCCCTCCCATTCCCTCCTGAGTTGAGATCATCACATTAACAGTGCGTATCCCCTCCTGGCCTGGCAGGACTTGACGGTCTGTCCTCCCTCGTGCCCCCTCACGCTGCCCTAGAATTCATTGGCTGGCAGGTTTGGAGTGTGTCATCCTTTGCATTAAATACAGCTTCAGCTCCTGGTGGCTTGAGGCACACAGGGGTTCTGTCCGGATGGGCAACTCTAGAAGATTCAGAGTGTCCCCTGCTATTTCTCCCTCTCTCCACCATCCCTAATCAGAGAGTCACTGGAGAGTTTGCCCTTGTCCGTGACCTCCAGAGAGAGGCAATCAGAAAGGGAATTTGGATGGGAGATAACTCATCAAGGGAGCTGTCTGCTCTGCAGAGCATCAAATCAGCTGAGAAATAACAATGGTATCACTAAAATTAGCTGAAATTTGCAGCCGACACCGTGGGGCAGCTGGAGCGAATGAGATGTGGGAACTGGCCGTACTTAGCTGGAGCGAATGAGATGTGGGAACTGGCCGTAGTCCTACGGATATGGCTACGGGGCAGTTCATAGTACAGTCGAGGTTCTCATGTTCACCAGCAGAATCCTTCACATGCCTGGTTTTTCAGTCCTTTTGTGGAGTGTTCCTGATGGCCGAATGTGGACAGACGTCTCACCGACACCTTGAAAAGCAAAGACGCCTTTGGAGCAAGATGGGCCTTTGTCTAGAGAGGCTGAGGGAAAATCCCATGCCATCCGGATTCTGCCTCCCCCATCTGAAGCCTGGGGCAAGATCCCTCTTTGAACTTTCCACCCAACTATTGGCATGCATGTAAAACTGGGGTTATGCTGCCACTTAGTGGAGATAAATGTCCCTTCCCCATGACAACATTCGCCTCAGAAATCCATTTTAACCATTGCCAGCCAAAAGCTTGCCCCATTGCTCCAGAAAAGACCTCTTTTTCAACGTGTTCACATGGCAACCTTCTCACCTTACTTACGGGATAGACCATAATTGGATTTTTAAGTGGTTGGAAGTGCTGTTGGAGCCATGTTGGTCCCAGAATACGAGAGACAAAGAAGGGGAGGAAATATATTTTATTGGGCCAGTTTCTGTGGGTGAAAGAGACAGGCTTTCGAGCTTACACGGAGCTCTTCCGTTTGGACCTTGTCTCTCGTACCCACAGAAATTGGTCCAGAAAAAGATTTCACCTCACCCATCTTATCTTTCTGGATTTTCCATAGCAAAACAAAATGGAAGGGGTGCTTCTATTGGTTAGCGCATGAGCGTAGAAGCCAGGACTTCCTGGGTTCTCTTCCTGACTCTGCTACTCCCTTGCTAGGCCATCTCACTTCGACTAAACAGGGAAGGTCATTAACCTTTGGAACAGCCTCTCCAAGGAGGTGGTGAATTCTCAATCTCCTGCTACCTTCACATCAAAATTGAATGCCTTTCTGGAAGAGATGCTGTAGTCAAACAGAAGTTAATGGGCTTGATACAAGGGTAACTTGGTGAAACTCTTTGGTCTGTGTGTGATTCAGAACAGCCATGGCTCTGGCCTTAAAATTTAGCAAAATTTCAAACATAGTGTCTTGATTTTCAGAGATGCAGAGCCACCTTCTGCATCTCAATCAGAACAGTGAGTGCCCACCAACACAATCAGGCTGCATGTTTGGATGCCTCAATATGCATCTAGGAACTAAACTTTTAAGCACCAATGTTTGCAAAAATTGGCCTTAGCTTTTCTTATTTGTAAAAGAGGGGTAACTCTTACCTTCCTCATAAAGGTGTTGAGAAAATTAATTCATTAATATTTGTAAAAGTGCTTTCCATTCCCTGGATAAAATGGGTCATAGAAATACAAAGTGTTATTAACAAAAACTGATTTTCAGCGTGGAAAAGACAGAACTTCTCTCTAAAAGAGTAACGGAGTCTTCCAGTTACTGATGTACTGGTAATGAACAGTGCAAACAGAACAAGAACCACAGAGACCTCACTCTCTCCCTGAGTTTTTAAGAACATACAGCTACACTGTTCTCAGCCTTTCCTGCGAGGAGTGATTGCAGGAGATGGCGTAGGAGCAGTATGGGAAGTCCAGAGGTCTGATCTTGTCATCTGGGGCCACGATTTGCCTTGTTCTGTGACATGCGGAGCACCCCCTGAGAGGTGCTGTGCTCTGCCAGCTACCATGAGGCTGATCAGGACACGGTGTGCGCTTCACAGGGGCGGGGCCGAAAGGAGTATCTCACCCAGAACAAATACCGTTCTTTCCTATGCCAAGCAAGGTGAAGTGGGACAAACCTGTGCTCACGGGTGTCGGTGGTTCTGCGGGTTAAACAGTCTCTCTTCTCTCGGATACACAGACCTCTCCTTGTTTCCCCAGATTGCAGAGACCTATGCTTTCCTTCCAAGAGAAGCTGTGACCAGGTTCCTGATGAGCTGCACGGAGTGCCAGAAGAGGATGCATTTTAACTCCAATGGCCTGGAGCCCAAAGGTAAACGCAAATGGGTTCTGCCAGCATAGATGACTCTATGCCAGCGGTTCTCAAAGCTTGATCCCCGTCACCCCATGGGGGGAAAGGAGGGCAAAGCCAAAACCTGACCCCCAAGGAATAAGGCGTCAGCCTCCCGAGCCTGGGATTGTGGTTCTAGCTCCACCCTACGTCCCTAGAGCAGGTGGGCAGCCAGGGCTGGAGATGGCATCTGCTGAAGGCAGGGAGTCTAAGGCATTGGCTCATGCCTTGTCACTCAGAGATGAAGGCCTCAAGCGTTGGTTTCAGCGCCGGGCCTCAGCCACTCTAACGCCAGCCCTAATCTCCTGAAGCAGCTGTGCTTCCCAGAGACCATGGAGCAGCACAGACAGGCTGGGATTCCGGCCACACGGTACTGGGTGCTAAACATCCTCAGTGGCTGAATCCCGGCTCTGGAACTTGTGGTCAGAAGAGACTAGACTGAGCCAAAGCCTGACCGTCTTGATCAAAGTGTAACAGAGACCTTTTCAATAAAGGCTTCCCTCCAAATCAATGCTCTTAACACATAAACGCAGCAGACAAAAAATCTTTCACGCCGCTCCTTAGCTGGGCGGGGGGAGGGAGAAGGAAAGAGATGAATGCCTTTCTGTTCCATGCTCTTCTCTTGAATTGTGTGCAGCGCACAGGGCCTGCCTAGAAACCTACAAAAATGGGTGGATTAGATTAGCGCTTAGCAAGAACACTGGCTAATTCCACTATTTATTTATGTGGGAATGTATTGCAGTGGATCGCACTGGCATTGGATGGAAGATTACACATCCACATATCAAATGGAACTCACAACAGGGTGCAAAACTCTGAACCCTCCTATCCAATCGCCACCTGCATCATTTGTCAGACAAATCTCACCTCGCTGCATTCCCGATCAGAAAAATCCCTACGTCCACGGATCTTGTGCTGAACTCTGCCGGGCACCAACTTGTCTTGCTCCTACCAAACTCGGAACAGCATTGGGCCTCGTCATAATCTCAGAAATGCTGGTGTAAATAAGTCAATCCACTGGAGCTACGTAGAGTGGGAGTTAGGATCAGGCCAGTTCCAGTCTAAACAATTCTTCCTGCTTTAGGGCATGGGGGGAATTATATAAAACACTGTCATAATATTTTAATGAGGAGAAATACACTAATGGCGTAAACCACTCCCGCAGCCCTCTGGTAAGATGCAGCATGCTGGGCTACACAATGTGTATTCCTATGGGGCTTCTTAAAATAAGGTTTCCCTCATCTTTTATTACTCCATACTTTGGCTTGGGAAAACAATCTTTGTTTCAGATTCTTATCTGAGTCACAATCAAGTAAATGTAAATGAAGTTCATGGGATTATTCCAGATTTACCCCAGTGTAACTGATGGGTGAATCTGACGGTCAGAGTTCATCTCTTCCTGCTGCTTATTCACCATTTGATGACATCACCCCCCATGTGTGGGACTGCTTTAATGATTTCTGCACCCAGTTGTGATGTGGAAGATGGAAGCCAGGCTGGAAGTAAGGAACAAGCTAGGAGAAACAGTGGTTGCCAGCTGGCTCTACAGAGACAGGGAGCCTCAGGGGAGGCCACTGTTGGCCCTCAAACAGGGATCCTTGAAGGTCAGCTGATGTCAACCTGATCCTCTTTAACCCCTGAATAGCAGGGGTCTTTGGAAAGAAGGTGCTGTTAGTCCCTTCTCCTGCTCAGATCACAGCGGTTCTTGGGTAAAAGCCACTGCAGACGCACCCTCGTCCTTCTCGATTCATGCCACTGAGATAGTCCAAGGGCACAGAGTGATGTTCCCAAACTGCCAGCCCGCTGGGTCAGACAGAAGAAGTCTTCAAGGTCCAGCTGCTTTCAGGCTGCTTCCTCTCGCCAGCTGCAAAGGCTTCTGGAGGGCAGAGTGTTTGTCATTAGCAGCTCGCTTCCTCTGCGTACATTAGGTTAGCAGAACAGTTAGGGAAGAGAGAGCCCCAGAATACCAAAAAACCTTTTGTGTGTGCAGCCCTTGGGGGAATTCCAGAAACCAGCCCCCTGAGAACGAAGAACAGATGAATCCTAGACTGCAGCTGACCTGCTATAAGCCTGCTACACTCACTCCTTATTAACGAAGGGTTATATTCTTGCATTTGGATCCAAGTATCAGGAGTTCGGCTAGTTTTGAGTCCAGTGAAAGAAAGGCAGAAAGACAGACCCTCCATATTTGTAGGAAAGACTGGGAATGTTCAGCTTAGAAAAGAGGAGACTAAGGGGGGGTATGATAGAGGTCTATAAAATCATGACTGGTGTGGAGAAAGTGACTAAGGAAAAGTTATTTACTTTTCCTAAGAACTAGGAGTCACTGAATGAAATGAATAGGTAGCAGGTTTTAAACAAACAAAAGGAAGTTTTTCTTCACACAGCTCACGGTTGGTCTGTGGAACTCCTCGCCAGTGGAGGTTGTGAAGACCAGGACTTTAACAGGGTTCAAAAAATAACAGGATAAATTCATGGAGGTTAGGTCCATCAATGGTGATTAGCCAGGATGGGTAGGGATGTTGTTCCTAGCCTCTTTCAGAGGCTAGGAATGGATGACGGGAGCGGAATTGCTTGATGATTCCCTGTTCTGTTCAGTCCCTCTGGGGCACCTGGCACTGGCCGCTGTGGGCAGACAGGACACTGGGCTGGACGGTCCTTTGGTCTGACCCAGCCTGGCCGTTCTTCTGTGTCATATTTATTCACAGCTAGTTATTGAAAACCATTATGGTAAGTATATTTCCTTGAAATTGTCCCAGATAAGTATAAGACTTTTATTAGCCTCTGCTTCATTTCTGCAGCATATGCGTATGTTGCTGATTAAGTCTCAGGTCTGGATGCACAAAAGTGCTTGGGTGCCTAGAAAAATCACAGAACGTGCCGCCAATCACAAAGCCAGAGTTAGGCACCTAGGCTGCTTTTCCAGTGAGGGTTTGGACTGCCATTCAGGCTGCAGGCAGCCTAAGCTAGACAAGGAGAGATTCTACCTCTTAGGGGGGACCAAGCACCACCCCACCCTGGGAGATTCAGGGAGGGACTTATCTCTGCTAGTAAGTGAAGCCCTCTTTGGAGTTGGGGCTTTTGCTGGAGGTCAGGGTTTGGAGGGGAGATGGCGCTCCCCCGTCACTTTTAGCCCAGTGATGGGCCATTCACTTAAGATGTGGGAGATCCCAGTTCAAGTTTCCTCTCCGTCCAATAGGAAGCAGGGATTTGAGTGCTCTGACCATTTGGCTCTAGAGTCGTCTGATAAGGGTCCTCGAGACCCAATTCATAGCACTTGGATAACAGCTGACACCAGCCTACCTGTCTGTCCCACCACTGAGATGGACCATGACCCTGTTCTCCCAGGCCCTTAATGGAACAGGACGTGGCTGTTTCAGAGCCTGTCTTCTCCCTAATCTCCTGAAGCAGCTGTGCTTCCCAGAGACCATGGAGCAGCACAGACAGGCTGGGATTCCGGCCACACGGTACTGGGTGCTAAACATCCTCAGTGGTTGAACGGCTCTTGGGTTGCTGTGCATTTAGCAATGGTGTTTCTTTGCCAAATGGATTTAATTACCTATATGAAAATATTAATATATTAAAACTGAGCTAACGGTGCAAAAATAACCCCCTGTTCGCGTTTTCTGCTCCTTGGTGTTGCTGTTTGCCTTTTCTCAAATGGGACAAGCACAACAGACTAGTCGGTTCCATGTCGCTTCTGGTCAGTGTCCCTTTCCGATTCTCCGGCATTAGCCCCATGCCCATGTCTGGGTCAGAACGACTGCAGATATTTCTGTTGGTGTGAGATTTTTGCAAAGGTAAAACTTCTATTTCTGAGCAAGTTTGAGCTTAAATTTCCTCCCTACACTCTTCATGCTGTAATGAAAGCTATGGAGTAAGTTTGAATAGCTGAAGTTTCCGATAATAAAGTACGTAGTAGACCTGCAGGCTGTGAACCTATCCTGGATAATGGAGAGTTTGGATCATTACAATTATGCTCCATCACTAAGTACACCAAAGTATCTCCACGACTCCGGTGTTTAGTTTCATTATCCTTCCTTTGTAAACCTATCTGCAGTAACCGCCCCTACACCTTCACATACACCCCTGCCCGCCTTACACCTTCACATACACCCCTGCCCGTGCAGGAGTGGAGAAGAGTGGCTGCTCTGCAGGGGGAGGAGGAGGGGAGCTGCACTCAAGGGGGGTGGGGGCAGGAGCAGGGATTGGGCCCACCCTGGCACTCACCAGCAGCCGGAAGTCCAACGACCCAGCCTCAACCTGCTCCGCTCCCTTGATTCCCAGCTCCGTTGCTTGATGACGGGGCTTAGAGGAAGGCATGGAATTGCCTCCACATCCACCAGCAGCAGGGGGAAGTGCAGGGATGCAGCTGGGATCTGTCGGAGTGGGCTGGGGCCGGTCACTCTACATCCCACAGCTGCCGGAGAGAGAGGGATGGGACCTGCCCCCTGTGACTGACTCCAGGCCTCCTGTTAATCCCCCAGGCTGCATTGTTCAGGGGAGGAAGCTCAGAGGAAGGGGGTGGAATGGGGGCAGGGAGTGGGTGGAGCATGGGCAGGAAGAGGCGGGGCAAAGCAGGCACAGGGGACTCTCTCGAGAGATCTTAGAGTCATTGGGTGTGTCTAGATTACACCTCTGTCGTCAGTGAGATGTAGATTAGGCATGTCGAAATTGCTAATGAAGCAGGGATTTAAATATCCCGTGCTTCATTAGCATAAACATGGACGCCACTTTTTTTTCGAAACACAGCTTTTTTGAAAAAAACCGGCAGTCTAGATGCAGATCTGTCGAAAATAAACCCTTTTTCAACAGCTCCCGTAAACCTCATTTTTTGAGGAATACAGGATCTGTCGAAAAAGGGTTTATTTTTGACAGATCCGCGTCCAGACTGCCGTTTTTTTTCCCGAAAAGTCTCTGTTTCGAAAAAAAGTGGTGGCCATGTTTATACTAATGAAGTGCAGGATATTTAAATCCCTGCT